TATGGAGTAGAGTTCAAACTGGCGACTCAGTGGTTAAGAACAGAACACTTCTAACCAGATCCATTGCTTAGGCGAAAGATTGACGTTACGGTCATGTTACCGCAGGGAAGTTTTACAATATTATCTCACTGAACTCCGACTGAGCCTTTATATCACGAATCAGAATCAAGATATTTTAGTCTATTTTAACTGTCAAAAATTATGAAGCCGTGGATTGTAATGGTGTTTCCGATGATGATATTAAGAAACTGATAGTAAACAAAGGATTTATGACTACATAACTACTAATTTTAAAGTATTCGATTGTACAAGGATACTTCTCATTAAAAATGAATCTGAATTGTTAAGATCTAAAATGTAATTCAGTGATTAACATACATTCGAATGCCTGAGATGGAATACGCCCAGCTGAATTTGTTAAAAGTTATCTATTAGCAGAAATAAGATAATTTATTAATGCAATCTGAGACCAATCTTCAAAAACGTCGCACGTGGACATGACTTTGGTTAACTAGTTTGATCTCAAGACATCCAAGGCCTTTAGCTACGAGTATGTCTCTGATGAAAATTAGATTCGTTAAAAGAACGTGTCAGAAAATCTAACATGCTACAATAATTAATGCAAGAATAACTCAGAAATACTAAACAGAAGTACCAAGACCGAACAGTTAATTGCGGATCTCGGCTGAAACGATTTATTCGAGCATAACGAATCGGTCATAAATTTGCGGGGGCAAACATTACTTACTTACTAACACCTGTTAACCCTCGTGGAGAAGCACAAACCATCCGTCAGCATTCTTCATCCAACTTTGTACTGGAGAATTCTTTCCAGTTGCTATACATCTTATTCATGTCTGCTTCCAATTCTCGGCGCAGTATGTTATTTGGTCTTCCATTTTTACGTTTCCCTTCAGCATTAAGTTAGAGCTTGATGCAGTTTGATTATTTCCTCAATGTGCGTTCTATACACTTTCAACATTTTTCTCTTAATTTCCTCTTGCACCTTTACTTTTTGAAGATAGATGTAGTAGTTCTCCACGTTTCAGCTCCGTACCTTAGAACTGTCTTGACGTTCGTACTGAAGGTTCTCACTTTGATATTACTAGACAGTTGTTTTGAGTTTCGTATGTTCTTCAATCATAGGAATGAGGCCCTTGCTTTGCCGATCTGTGCCTTCACATTTGCATCAGATCCTCCTCGTCCAACGGTGATGACCAGGTGCGTGAGTTTCCACATCTTACAGAGTTTCTCTATCAATTGTGATTGTGTTGGTGTTCTCAATGTTGTATTTGAGGATCTTGCTTTTTCCCTTGTGTATGCTGAGGCCTACTGATGTAGAGGCTGCTGCTAAACTAGTTGTCTCCACTTGCATTTGTTGATGCGTATGGAATAGAAGGGCCAGATCATGTGTGAAGTTCGAACCGTTTAGCTGCATCAAACCTATCCATTGTATTTCGCGCTTTCCCTCACATATCGAGGTCTTCACAATCCAGTCAACTACCAGAAGAAAGAGAAAAGGGAGAGTAATTCGACTTGTCTCACTCTGGTCCTCACCTTGAATGCATCTGTCAGCTGTCCTCCATGCACGACTTTGCAGCGTAGTCCGTCGTATGAATCCTGGATGTTGACGATTTTATTAGGTACTCCATAATGTTCTCCTATCCTCACTGTCAAACGCTTACTCGTAGTCAAGGAAGTCGATGTATAGTGAAAAAATTCCACCCAACTAAATGTTCAACGATGATCCTTAGTGTCGCGATTTAGTCTGTGCACGACCGAGCCCTATGGAATCAAGCTCGTTGATACCCGAATTGGGCGTCTACTGTTTCTTTCATCCGATTCAGCAACGCTCTGTTGAAAACGTTTCCTGGTAACGACAGTAGTGTGACGCCCCTGTAGTTCTCACATTTGCCCTGATCACGTTTCTTTGATATCATGTTGAAGTGTCCTTCTTTCCAGTACGTCCTCACTTCTTCATACTCCTAAATCTTCCTGAATAGTGTGAAACACGATCGCAGTTACTTGTATGTCTGACTTTGGTGCTTCGGCTAGTATATTATCAGGTCCTGCTGATTTCCCACTCTTGATGGCCATCCTGATTTCTTCGGTCGTTGGTGGAGTGACATGTATAGCAAGGTCCGTAGGTGGTGCTTCGATATATGATGGATGCAGTGAATCTGGTCTATCTGACAATTCCTCAAAGTGTTCTAAGCATGTTCCTTTGTTCTTGAATCTGTGATTGGCTTGCCTTCTTTGTCCATGACGGGTCGATCTGGTTTACTATATTTTCCTGCCAGTTTCTTTGTTGTCATATAGTTGTTTCATGTTCCCTAGACTTGCAACTTTTTCCGCTGTCGTTGCTGCAGCCATGTCAGTCATTTGTTTAGTTTATTTCCCTCAAATGTATTAGGATGACCCTAGGAGATTAAAGTACCTCGAAACAGAGCTAGTTATAAACTATTTTAGGAAAAACTGAAATTAATATATTTCACCAAATATGTCGATTCACATCGAAAGCACGTCACTCATACTCTACCCTAACTATTACTAGCTACTTAAATGACAAATCTTTGAGCAAGCACGCTATTAAATGACAGCAGGATAAACTGAATACTAGTAAACATTTTAACGATATATAATATTCTATTTCCAGGTAGATGAAAAAGAAGTCCTCTCTCTCACAAGTCTCTTATCTCAGTCTGGTGGTTTATTCTCTATTTGGATTGGACTTAACATGATGTCAGTTATAGAAGTGGTAGAACTGATTTTTCATCTTATTACAAAATGTAGACAATTTTCAAAGCGAAAACGACTTCGCCGAACTCAAAAAAAGCAGACTACATGCGACACACTGAAACCACTAACCAATGCAAATAGTGAGGCAGAAATGGTACAGGATCAGATAACAAACCGAGGAATCGGAAAACAAACTGAGAAGTATAGAAAAGACGACATGACCATAAATAATGGTCCAATACAAATACACACCAGAAAACGATCTCCAAGCGCCCCTAATCAGATGGTATCTGGAAATATATCATTATATTTACCACAAATTTGACACTCACAACTGTTCACGATCAATCTAAACCTGTGTTGATTTTTTAAAATTCTAATATAACATTTCATCCAGTTTGAAAATGCTTGTAGTTGTATATATTATTCGCCTAACCTAAACAGCGAAAGAATTATCAGCGTTAAGGTTAAAAGATACGTTTCTAAGATTGCGACAAGAATCATTTTGTATGGACATAAGCAGTCAAGGGGGAAAAGCGGAAGCCAAAGTATCCGGTAATGTGCACTTTCAGAGACTAATAACCAAGTCAGAACATGTTAAACAAGTAACGATAATTTTAATAGCTGGATTCATGAATCGATCTAAGTGCTTCCAGGTTTTCAATGGTGGTCCAGCTTAGATAGACTCATGAATTCAACTATTAGAATTACAATAATCTCCACAAATCCCACTTTCTGTAAACAAAAATAGGTAATTATTAAATAGAAATTTTTAAATATTATTGCGTGAAACTATATGCACATGCATGTATATCCTTAAACTAATAAGACCAATGTGGGACTTGTGTACCAGACCTATGATGTTACATAATATACCACCAAAGCAAATGGAGACTGACCACAGTAAATAATGAAATACATTGTAAGCCAAAACCGATAGTGGTTTGGTAATAGCTTCACTGATACCAAAAGTGAATTGTACAAACCAACTATTAATATTTTCATGAACAAACATTACATCTAGTCAGTTCATATCAACTTTCTACAGCACTAACAATCACTCTAGGGATTGGTAAATGATTAGTTTAGATAGCTTCAATATCTGTGAAACACGATTTACAATATCGGACAATGAATAAGATTTAGAAAGCTATATAAATCCGCAACAGATTTATAAATTGTCTACCCACAAATCGACTTTAAATTATTTGAATCCCTTGGTTGATAATTTGACACAAAATTAGCATGCTTTGGTCGGTTTCCCATGCGGATTGGCCCTATATAACCACCATGTGGGTAATGAGATGACTTTTGAAGCGAACGGCACTGAATTCGAGTACCGAATTGAATATCAACTATGGAATACAAGTATAACCACCCGAAGAGACCAAAATAGTTTTATTATTTATTTATTTCAACATATAAATATTGGAACAGGAGGGCACCAAATATATTGCGACACACCATATTTTTGTGTGTGTCGGCTGTGATACTGCCCGGATGCCCAAACCGAAGAAGGTAGTTTTCTTAGGAGGCCACACCTCGAGCCTTCAACCTAAAGGTCTGATCCAAAAGGCAGTGGAGCATCGTGAGGAGATGCAGCCCCATGGTAGTCGGTGACCAACGATTGGTTTATACGCCATTTGTTCCTTCAGGATACTGGAGCCCATGTGCACCATTAGTTTGGGATCCGGTTAAAGCCTCGGACATTCGCTTTTCGTCCTCTCAATTTCGTAAACAACACCCCCGCCACGAGAAGGCAGTGAGTAGAACTTCCTTGGCAGAGGCTGTATACTTGTGGCCGTGTGAGAGCATTTCGAGAGGGAGGGCCCGCCCCACTCTCGACCATACCAGTGCATTTGGGGGCGAGACTGAAGGTCCTGGGTTCAAATCCCGCGAGGCGGGATCGTGGATGTGCATTGCCAAGGAGGACCGAAATAGGACCAGACGCGAGCCCTGGATTCTGTCGCCAGCCACATTCTATCTATTCCGAGTTTAATGATATAAAATACCAGAGGCTCAACTAATAACAGCTCAATCAACAATTATGATTTCTGTAAAACATTATTAGATCATTTTTCTTATGCTCTACAACCTTCCGACCACTTATCGTGAAATAGAAACTGTCATAAAAATAACGATTAATTCAACACTTAAATGATATCAATTAAAATTCCAACGTTTTTATGATGCTATTTTCAACCAAAGCGAACCAACGTCACGTATTGTAGTCAAATAATTTTACTTTACCAGGAAGATTAGATACTGAAGTCAAATAGCTTTTAGTATTAATAAAACGATACACCTAGGATTTTTATGCTATACATCTGTACACAAACCAGATGTACCAACAATATAACAAACTATTGCCTATTAGTACATGTAGATAAGTGGGAGAAATTAGGGAATAATAAGTCAGAGCTATGAACTGACTGACCGAAAAACACTTAACGTATATAGCTCAAAAACTAACTGAATGGTGTGAAAATGATTAGTACAAATAAAGCAAACACGTACAAATAAATAATATCAGATTTTCTGTGCAGATAAATTTTATTCAATACAATTGATCTAAAATGCTTCGAAGTAATTCATAAATTTGGTTGAGAGTTAGACAACAACACTTTACGGCATAATTAGTGTTGCAGACGGTGGACAAGCTCAACTTAATTCAAAATAGGTACGAAGAATCTTGAGCATTTGAGAGCATCACATTTGTCTCATATGCACAATACAAACAGCAAAGCTAAGAAATTACATGAATATTGTCACAGTGAAAGTGACAAACACAAGCACTGCGGAGTACTAGATAATTATTCAAAGTACTGACAAGGTGAAAAAGATAATCCATCGAACCTATGAATATGTTAACGAAGCTTTTGAAAGTCATTCACAACTGGTAATATGAAAAGCTGGTTAAAAGTCACTGGTTTTACAGTTAGCCTGCAGATAACTGAAGGAAAGAGTATCTTCAAAACTAAGTCGCGCAAGAAACGAAGTGAAGATATATTACGCACAAATCAATGAATGAATTTTTTAATTATGAATCTTGATAGGTTTTTCATTTGGAGCATAACGAGGACGTTTAGATGGCTTATGATCAATTCCCAACCATGGGCGACTTTCAGGAAGACAATAGTGAGTAAATCTTTTTATCTGCACTGTGGGATCCCCTTCATTCGGGATGTAAGCACCCTCAGTTGGATAAATTACAGCGAATCGCCAACGGTCAAACTCCTTTTCAGGTACTTCTAGTCGTTTACGTATACGCTCGCGCACTGCAGTGTAATTTTCTCCATCTCGAATGCGTACAGTAAACGGCACCCCGAAAGTCTCTGTGAAAGCTTTGTCAAAATGAGAAACGTACACTACAGTTTCGTCAGGTTTCAAGTTTATTTCGTCAAGAGGAATTTCTTCAATCCGAAGACTATGAATAGGAGACGACCCTGCATATGTTTGGGGAAACACAGCAGATTCAGGTATGAGTGAAAGTTTTTGTGTTGGAGGATACTCTTGTATAATTCGATTACGAGAGATTTTGAGTAAACGCAGTTGGCCAGAACCACCAGGAGGCAAGACTAAATGACGAGAAGCTTCTTTTAAAAGATCAAAAACTAAACCATTCTGGGGTACTGAAAGAATTAATTCTGCCTTTTCCGATAATTTTTGCCCAACATAAACCACACGAACTTGACGCATTGTTTCAAGTTCATCAATTCGAATAGCCAGATGTGCGTAGTACACACGACGAGGTGGGGAAGAAGTAACAGGACCCAAAGGAGAACGGCTAACAGTCACAGCACCACAAAAACGATTGAGCGGTATTGGGAAGCGATCTGGAGTGGGGGTATTTCCACCAGTCCCTGACAATGTATTTCCGCTGTTAACTAAACCTGGCCCGATACCACCAACATCAGAAGCCCATGAAGTATTCGTGTGCGCAACAGTAAACGGAAGGAAAAATTCCTGCAATGTACCAGAATATGAAGAGCTGATTGCAGGACCGGGAGGTTCTCGCATCAAACCCTGAGCGGCTGCTGCTGCCACAAGTGAATTTAAGTAGGGTGACGACGTTGGGAAACCTGAAACAAACAGGAAAAACAATAGATCACGTTACTCATTGTAATCTCTGAAGTACTTGTGTAACGTTAACTAAATTATTCAAACTGTTTTAGTAACTAAAACAGTGCAAGACAGAATTTCGAAAGTTTGTCTGTACGACTTACACACATACATAAGCTAATACATGAAGTAATTTCCTGCATACACAGTGAAATACGAGAAGCTAACAATACCAAACTTTTTCTGAAGGAAAATCCATATTCTATAAAGCGAAAATTGAGTTCAGTTCTCTTACTATAGTACAGTTGGGTGAGATATAATGTACACGGACGGCTGGAGAAAAATTATTGAGCGCTAAAACTTCATTTGCTCAGGTGAAAACTTTTTTATATTTAACAAAATTTAATAATACATTGTATGTAATTCCAATTCATTTCAAATATCAACAAGACAACATGAGAATGAGGATCAAAACCACTGTGTCCGCTTTTCTCCCTAAATTCAGAACCACAAGTCGGCAACAGTAAATTAATGACCTAGTACCATGTGTAGTTGACAACACAGAAAGGCTAGTGCATGAAATCTCGAAAACCTTGGTTTTAAAAACCGACTAGTCTGGATAAGGCATCTTAGAAACCAAGTTGGTATTTGTCTAAAGAGCAAACAATCCCGTAAATATAAGCTTGAAAACTGGGCATTCTTCCCATAAATTACAGTATAAGTTGTGAGAGCCAAGTGTGCAGTGTGTATCAAAAGTTATCATTTGTGATATCCAAAATAATGTTGGTGAATTGATTTTTGCCCACATATTTCGCTCATTCACTAGGTAATTTACTTAAATATGAGACACATTCTAGGGGTAAAAGCTAATGATATCACATGGTTTTTCAAACCGAAGTAGGTATAGTGGGGTACTAATATGGTAATTAGTAGCTGAAAGCCGGACGTCCTAACCACTAAGAAACCATTGCATGCTAATAATCAAAACTATGAATTTTATAGAACAATACACAATATGTCAATTAGAAACAACGTAGGGCCAGGTACAAATCCATGTTTTACACAGTTTGAATAAGTAAACGTGTCATGTTGAAAATTACCAGGATTCAGGAGCCACTATAATATACATTGTGACTTCAAGCAAATAATCATTATCCCAATTCGAAGACAGCAACTCGAAGTAAAAAAAAGTGGAACGAATAGAATGAAACAAGAGCAACAATGAGAAATATCTGCGGTAGAAATGTGTTGTATTTACAGAAAATGATGGGTAAATTCGGAATAAACCATAGAGACACATTAAAAAATAAGAATGATTATATTGTACTGTAGTTTCTTCTAACTTACCAGATGATTTGGCTGTTAACAAATGAGGATGAATTGGTGATCCACGAGTTCCTGTAACTCCTAAAGCCCCACTCTCTACAGAACAAACGTTGTTATTGCCACAAGTGTTCTCTGTAGTTTCTGAACTGATAGGTGGAGATGCAAGTTCAATTCCAGTGACACCAGTCCCAGTGGAGACAGGTGAGACATAAATTGGTGCATTAACAGCATCCGTCGTATTGCCAAATCCTTGTTGTGAACGGAAAAATTGAAGACGGTTACTTTGCGTTGATAGGTAAGCTGCAGCAACATTGGCGAATTCCCAATACGTAAGATCGGCTGACACCTGAATGAGAATCCCAGCGTCCTGAGGTCTAAGCTTATCCACCAATAATATTTCGAACTACAAGAAAAAGGGATACTCACAGTAATAATAGACATTACGTTTATATGAACTTATTTGGTAATCGTTACAGAATGTTAGGAAAATGAAGAGTACTTCGCCGAAGGATTGCCTTGGATTACTAGTTTAGGCGTTACAGTTACGAACTAATAAGTAATGCTATAATTCCCTGTATATAGATTGCGCAACACTTCGAATTCAACTTGATTGGGTTTGTGGAAGATAAGTCAAATTTGAAGATAGTCATTGTCACGGACTGCCATCAGCTGCGAAACCACTGGACAGTAAAAAGTGCTGAGAACTTGCAACGCTCTAGTCGAGGGCTTCTGGAGAGGTTGTTGATGAGCAATACTGAGATCTAGACTAAAACGAAACATCCGTCCCTGTTTGCTACTTTTCTTCAGTCCGTTCAGAAAAGTGCTTTAAAGACTTCAAATCAATCAGCTAGAATTGTACAATGATAATTTTAAGTGAGTTTCCAATTAAAACGATGGAAACTAGCACATTTCATGATGATATATATGAATGCATATGGATTCGCATACAAAATTAATTTAAACTCGACATTAAAATAATTAAGAACTAGAGAATCAATTTCTTAAGAATTTCATTATAGAACACAGAATTTACAATCGTACAGGGATTAGGAATAACTGAGAATATAAATGCCTCAAAAGTATGTACTTAACCCTGAAACATCTTTTTTAAATACACTAGTCTACTACAACCTATTTTGATGAATAGTAAATTATTTCAAATCAACACAAAAAAAACATATAGAAACATCTAATTAACATCACCTAAAAGATTTTACGCTACATTCATGGTAGGTTTCCCTATTATATGTAACACAAACAGGTAAATTTCAAGACTGACTTCGAATATAAACATTCAATGAAACAATAGCCATGAACATAATGGTTGATGTAGAATAGTAAACGTCTTACTGGAGATGTTAAATTAGCGGCTAAAACCTGAGTTTGAGTTTTTCAAAAATTCTTGAAATCAGTGACGATTCGCATGTTGAAGGAAATGTTACAGTTTTAAATCATGCACTACGAACTAATTAACCAACCAGATTGCTATTTTAATTCTAGACAACTTGCACAAAATACATGACCATCGAAATGTGATTAGATGATTACTTATTGGTAAATTACTTTTAACTAAAATATTTTTTGTAAAAATCTTAAACACCAAACCTATTAAGCACACCTGACGTATATAACTGCTGAAGTAATCAAAAATCGTCAGTTTTTCTGCAGATGAGATTGTTTGCGTTTGTAAATCCGCCGTAATCGGTTGACCCATCAGATTCATACAAGATCGAGATTTATTGCCAGCTACTGCTGGGAAAGTAGCCATTTTATGCAAAGTAATGGAATCAATATTCGATAACGAGACAACAGAAGACTCCGAAATATCTCTGCAAACATCTGCGTTACCACTAACATTATCGTCCACGATATTTGAAGGGATGACTATACCATTCATACCAATAACCTGGCTGTTGTCAGTAAGAAGAGGACTTTCGACAGACGACAAAACATGCGCATCATCTACCAAACTGCTCAACGCTTCTTTTCCCATCTCAGTGGTTTCCATCAATCCAAATGGTAGTGGGATTGAGCAATTCATTGATTTAGCCTACAAAAAAGATAATTAGAAAGTTTCTGAAAAATAATATGTCCATCCCACTGAGTGTAATGAATTCAAAAATCTATGTAACCTTGTTTCATTATCGATACAAATACAGTTACTCCGGTAAATTATAAAATATTACTTTTGAGTCACGAATTCCCAGGGTCAATGAATAAATGGAAAACACTGCACTCAGTTGATGCGGTGACGTACACAGAAAATGCATGAAAAAGACGTCTTTGTTAGACTTTACACACTGAAAGTACATTTTGAAGTTGGATAAGTAGTTTTGTGTCTGGCTTACAGAAACAATGCAAATGTGTTTTTTTTAGATTCAATGTGTATATTTTGTATATTTAGGATGTGTGATTCACAAAAATTTATCGTCAGTACTTGGCCATAATAAGTAGCTTTAACAAGAAAAGCTGACTGATTATCAATTAATCAATCAATTGACACAGCGCTATATCCGACTAATGGTATGTAATTTCATTCTGGTGTGAGAGCCATGGTATTATTTGACTAATGAGTACTTTATTTAGTACATTGTGGTAACTAACAGTTGAGTTTCGTAATACGTCATGTAATCTCAGCTGTGACAATTTATTAATAATGTTTATCATCAATACCATGAGATAATGTAATTGAAACTCATTAGCTACTCACAAGTTAGTGAACTAAATCTAATTTAAAATACCACCTAGAAGCCTAAACCAAATCAGGAAGTAAGGTTGAATCTGATGTTAAATGCATTAAACAAAAAGCTGAGTAAGATTATGTTGTAACACATAGATCTTGGTTAACGTTGCTCATATAAAGCACACATTTTAAATATAGTTTCTTGGTTTTTTCTAAACTAATCCAAGACTGGATATACAACTTTAAACAGATTACCGTTCCAAATGTTCATAAAAGTTTGGATATTCAGCGAAACTACGAACAATAGATTTGCAACAAAGTACACCAAGACCACATGAGCTAGCTACTGGGGAATAAAACTAGGTTTCGTTATTTATTTCTTCATACATTTGAACAGAATCGGAAAACTATACAATGAGTACTGACATGTATGTATACGCAAAAGGTTGAACAATAAAGTTAACTAACTTGGAAGTACAAAATTTGTCCTTGGATATCGCGTTTATACATTTTAGATATTGGGATATCAAGTTGTGTAATTTCAGATATCAAAGATTTCGCATCGTCTTGGAAAAACATTAATTTACAATTAGAAGGTAATCCAACCCGTTCGCGAGCTATTGGTTCAATAACCCTCAACGATTCTTCTCTGCGAATTTCCACATGGCCACAAAATGTTGACGTCCAAGTGAATGGATCGAAATATTTGAGGAAAAACAAGTGTCGATCTATCACAGTTTGTTCTTTATCCACACGAGGAATAAATGAATTAGTCGAAGTATCGGACTGAACAAAAAATATGAGAGCATCTTTCATAGCGCATAATGGTTGATTATCACAAAGTTCAATTAGATGAGTAGGCATGTTCTTACGTCTAATGGTGAAAAAATAGAGGTAAACTACATAACTTTTGACGAATATAGAAACGTGTAAAAATGTTTTTTTAATTCGCTTTAGCGTTTCCGTCTATAAATATCAACGACGTTATTGAACTTTGCTTGCGGATATACGTGAATAAGTGAATAATCCTATTAAAAACTAAGTATTTGTACTAAATTTGAAAAACAGAAATGAGATTTTGAAAAAAAACAACGGAAGAAACCCATTGACTCATTAAAAAGGATGATTTCTCAGCGTATAAAATTTTCTTTTGGACAAAATTATTTTCTGAAGCTGTATAATAGTATTTATAGGTAGTTTTTACATGCAGTAGTGCACAGTAAAATAGAGAAGTTTTACAAAATTATCAAAGATAACCAAATCTATTCAAGTATCGGATGTGAAAATCAATGAAAATGTAGTGTTGTATAATATAATCAAGAATATCAAATGATTTTAGGTATAGAATAAAACAAGTATTTCATCATTTAGCAAAGTTGTTACGTCCTGAGCCCTGTCAAATATCACATGACTAAATCGCCAATTAGAAACACAGATTTATATAACGTTGACAGTATGTCAAACCAATGGCGTGTTAACCAGTACGAGTAGTCTAGAATCAACTCAGAGTCCTTATAAGTTTTTCTCGCGTAGCCTTGTCCGTTAGAGTCCAGAACACAATTTCAATTTCCATTGTATGAATCATATATTTCAGACATACTTGGTTTATACACAAGCAAACCAGACCTCATCACACCACATAATAGCAAATAACAACTATACAACATTAGGCAAAAAGTGGTTGTGTGTGGTACTGTAACTAATAAATGGGGAATAGCTTAGGAATACAAAATCGTATATTAGCCGGTAGGTCAAATGAAAAAAATATAGATAGATAGATAGATAGATAGTTACTTAATAGTTATATAATAGGAATATATATATAACAGTCAACAAATAGTTCGCAGAAGTGACACAATTTAATCTTCCTCGAACAAAACAAAAGTAATCAAAATTATCAAGAACTAAAATTTGTAAAAGTTTTGGAAGTAATAAGTAGTAATTTGTAGAATAGAAACAGAAGATAACTATCTACATTGTAAATGATAAAAGGAAGATCATAATAATAGCACTTACGGTTTGTAAAACTTAGAGGGGTGCTAAGAATACGGAATAATAAGGGATTGAACATGACCCGTTTAAACAGAGAGGTCAAGTTTGAAGTGGTCAATTGCTTTAGTCTTAAATGGGCACAAATTTCTCATTGAAACCTATTATGAGCCAGTTCTCTTCTTCACCAGGTAGATGATTTTTGAACAACGATTTTAGTGATGGGATGTGACCAGCATTGACCTAGTGTTTTAAAATTGAACAATTCATTGATTTGCATATCCCTTTTGATAGCCATTCAAGATAGAGATGGATATTCATTTAAAAAGTGCACGCTTTATACGCCTGGTGTAACCTGCTCCACAGAAGCAAATAAATTCTATTTTTGCAAGAGATAAATGAATGATATCTTTATCAACTGTGACGAAGATAGTGACCTTAATACAAGAGTTCAATAATTGCCATCACTGGATTACGTTCATAACATAATCAAAGTTGAATTCGGAAATCCACATTTTTAATATTCTGTTAAAACACGGGTCAGATGGAAATCCATCGTATACAAGAATAAAGTTTAGTATTGTCAACTTGACGTTTTGGTTTTATATTACTATTAAACAACCTAGACAACAAACCATTTTTCAAAAGTATTTTCCGAATTATATTCAACTCATTGTTAAATGTGTTTTCAGTGCACATTTGTCTGACACTTGAGAAAAAGAATTGGGCTAAATTTACCTTCCTCAGTGGCATCAAACTCTGGAAATTCGTATACTACTCGTCCTAGGTTGGCTCTTCGCATGTCGACCGTTGTAAAGATCCACCCTACAATTTTGACTTCGATAAATGTGTAACACTCCTCTATTTTAGTATGCAACACTACATGTAGAAATTACCTATAAATACAATTATACAGCTTCAGAAAATGATATCACTGGGAATAATATTTACCTCGCTGAAAATGCAGTTTGTTTAGTAAAACAAAAGGGACCTACCGAGGTTGAAACCGCCACAAACGTATTCCTTCAGGCTGATAATGCAACACACTTGCTACATCTTCTAGTAATTTCGGACGAACAGTTTGTTTTTGAACGCGTAACATCCGACTGGGCAATAACTCTTGACTACACAAATCTGGACCCTAAAATTTAAAACAGTACTATGGATTAAATTTATGGGAAGTGATAAAAACAAATGAAAGATTGAGAAGGTGAAGTACATTTGAAATTAGACAATATAAAACCAAATTTAGCTGACGTACTTGCCAACCATAGAAGTCCTCTTCAAGTATTAACTGAATAGCGACATATAAATGAACCTTTTCTTTTTGTTTTCTTTTAGCCTCATCCATTTTTTGTTCATCCATGAATCGCTCGCGTAATGTCTCAGGAATATCTATCTCAGAAACAGGGCATAAAACATCATCTTTCGCGGAATCTGCGATATACACAAGCATATAAGCGTTTGTGCAAAGACGCATATCAGGATCATCACTACCTCCGAAATTCTGTAATAAAATAAGTATAATTATAATAAATCAAAAGTGTGAGTGTAAAAAATATATATTATTCTATAAAAACACGTGTAGTTCAAACGTAACAGAGAGATAATAATTATATCAATAATTGAATTATCTATATAAATGAAACGTTCATGTACCCTTTAAAACAATGCACTATGAACACAAGGAATGGAAACATGAAATAATTAACAAAATGTCATCTTTAGAACTTATTTGTTTCAAGAATTATCAATAAATGAGAAGACTACCGCATTCTGTTCAGTGATGTAATCATGATTTGATACCAAAATATTTTAATAAAGCCAACGTAACTCAGCTAGGATGTTAATTGAGCCCCCCAAAACTAAATAGTGAGAAGCATGAAATGTGAAAACACAATCACAGGATAATGCTATGCTAATAGATGCAAAAGCAGTAAACCACGTTGTTGGGTAACTAGAAAAAGTCTACCCTAGTCTTAAGGCAAGTTCAAAAATCCCAACTCAATTATATATTTGGCAAAATTATACAATGTCAATCAGCTACGACTTAGGACCAGGTACATACATGCATCAGTCCAAGTTGCCATACTACATTAGCACATCAAGATGAACACTGGATTCATAGAATTAGCTAAGTCAATTATATAAAAGAAAGATTGCATATAAGGATATACTACAGCAAGAAAGAATAGGTACGTAGAAAGATATGAAGCGATTTTTAACTCATAGTTTAAGGGAAGACAAAAAAGTGTATACACCTACCCCATTGTGATCGATTCTGAGCCATGTCACTGAACAACTGAACAATACTCCACTTAAATAACATTCTCGACCGTTGTTGCTACCTTAACGTGGTGGTCGGGCTTGCCCATAGTGATGAACCAATCGAGTTATACTGACTGGAACAATCGTTCCTCAAGGTCCTACCGTGTCAGACAAGTCGATTGAAGAACAGTAAGACTAAAAGCAGCAAATCCAAGGTCCGAAGATGAAGTCGTACTGCTGACTGTACAGAGACGTGACGGCAGTAAGGTGTTTCTTTCCGACAACCATCATGACTGATGCTACATTCTCACAAAGGGTGAGGTTGGAAAAGGAGTTGCATCGACCACATATTCACCATTCGTCAGGTTCTAGAACACAGGTATACTTATCGGTGTCCAACAATGGTCTTTCTTAACTTAAAAGCACCAATTGAATGTGTAGACCGCGAGATTCTGTGGCAGTGTCTGTCATTGAAAGGCGTACCTCAGAAGTAAATAAACCTTGTGAAGGCTCTTCATTCGAACACTACTAGTCGAGTCAGAGCTTATGGCGAACTGTCATCTGCTTTAGCAACCTCAAATGGTGTCCGTCAAAGCTGTCCAGTTTCTCGATTTTTGTTTAACTTCATCATAGACCTACTGCTGTAAATAACGCTATCGTCGACTGAATTTTCGGGCAATGATTTCTTACCAGGAGGTCCACTTATCGACTTAGAATAAGCAGATGACATATTCGTGTTTGGTGAAGATGCTGATAAAATACCAAGTCTTTTGGTAGCATTGAACGACAATGCCAGAATGTTTGGCATGTGTTTCTGCTCCCCCCTCTAAATGCAAGTTGTTGTTTCGGGACTGGCCTGCGTCTATATATGGGTGAAGCTACTTTCAAAATGAGTACTTGAACACGTAATCTTCATTGGCACCAATATCTAAAATCAGCACACTAGATCTGACCATTGATTTGGAAACCGGCAGTAGATGTTACACCTTGCCGCAGAAATACATTTTGTGTAACTCTTGAAACAAACCACATTAACTTACTATGATAAAAGAACAGCCCAAACTAACATTGATCACTTTGAGTAAATCAGCTATCACAGATGACTAGAGCACTCAACGTTATAGATTAAGACTAATTCAGATATTACTATATATCACAAAGTGTAAAATATGTACTTTGTTACTGAGTAATATAACATCAAAATCAAATTATCCAGGTTGTTAATGAGCACTTTAAATCGAGACCAGAAAAAGTATACTAGTACTAAAATTTTAAAAGCTACATGAATGCAACAACATGAGTGAATGCATATAAGCTTTATGTGAATCTTACATAATTGTCCAGATACAAGGCAAACAAACAGTGTTAAACATAGACTTGAAACATATATCCACAGTAAACTAAGAGTAAGGTTTTGGAATTAGTTAGCCAAGACGAATACTTTGAATGAAGTACTGTTTTGAAGTCAGACAATGATTTAAATTACTCTCACTATCAACAGTAGTAGCATTGAAAAGAGAACACTTGAATATCATCAAATGAGCAAAAAAATGAATACATGTTCAACTAAAATCTATTGCATTTCCCAAAGGAAAAAGATTGAATTAAAATTAGGAATCATACCATCTATATTTATATGGGCTTTTTTAACAAACAAGTTTTTTTAACCTAGTAGCAATGATTACAAACAGCAAACTAAAACTAAACCGCCATGAGAGTTAATGTCAGGTGAATAAAACGTTAAAAAACTTACCATATCGATAGCATCACGGGGTGAGCAACGTGAAACAACATCATCGTCAAACTGATACCATATACCATTTAGCGCTGGATTTATATATACAACATAATGACCACCATGATTATCACCAGAGTGCACAAGTACAGCGTGAAGTTTGTAAGTAGATGGTTTTGGTTCAGCCAAAAATTGATCCAACTTAAGAATAGGTGGAAATTCAAACCGATCATTTAGTTTGATATTTGTATCAGCAACGAAGTCATACTGAAAACGCATTAGTTGCAGATACAATACCGGCGGAAATCGTGTAAATATAACACCTTTTTCAGCTTCTTGGAGCCCATAAGCACCAGCATCATATTTATTATCTTGAGAGAGGGTTTCTTTAGCAATGTATTCATTGAAAGCGTCATAAACAGAACGATTTCCGTTAACCTTAAGTTGGATATCATAGAAATTTTCTTCTCTCTTAGAAGAATAAGGAACGTTGATACAATTTATATAAGAAAGCATTTTCCCACAAAATAGTCCGGGTATAACATCCTCAACTGAAGTACCTTTCATTTTGTTTTCCAAGTTGTCTAGTAAAACCCGACATAATTCCTGAGCATCATGTTGCATAAATGAGTCTAAAGTGGCCCAACCAAAACTGCGAGTCAACTTTTTAGTGCCTACAGCACGACTACTGAACTGCAATTCATAAAATACTCGCTGTAGAGCCAGAGGTACACTTGTTTGGGCATCATCACTTTCCGTTGGCATTAAAAATACTGCACGTCGTAATTTATTTGTGCAATACAATGCTTGAAGTAGAGAATTTAGATAGCAAGTAGCGCCCTGATTTTTCAGCCCAACAAATCCAGTGTGGCGTTTGGAATCCCAATCAGCACCATGAGGAGCATCAGCTTTAATATGAGCTCGGATAATAATTGTATCTTTCGGATCTGTTGGAGATAAGAAACCTCTCTCTGGATTAAGCAACTCGTCATAACTAATAAATTGTTGGAAACCCCAATCGTTTTCCTTGTGTGTGAAAGTATGCTGAATTTTCATTTCTTTATTCTTGCAATTCGATCTCTGAGCAACTAACTGAATAGTTGCTTTGGCGGTACAACTCCAGGTTAGTGATTCGCTTTCTGCATTACACTGTACAAAAACACCAATTGTCGACTGAGCGTCCGGTGGATGAAAAATTACAAGTATTTTCCACGGGAGACAACGAATCATTCCTGATCCTCGAACCACCTTTAAAAAGGGATTAAAATTATTGATGTAACATACAGACATCTTGCAGTTACTAAAATTTATTTGAACTACAAGAAAAATGCTTCATTTTTGGATATTCATTATGGTACTACTACTGTTCCTAAAAAAGACCTACGCAAGAATGACAGAAGTAAATATTTACAAAATTTCGTTTTGTAAGACTGAGAAATTCCACTTCGATATTCATTTACTATAAACAGTATTCATGGACTGTCATCTTTTCATAATAATTACAGAAAATACTACGAAGAGTTATAAGATATACCTTTCAACATAATGAAAATGCTTTGCTTCTACTGATCTGTACCACTTTAAACTCCAATTGGACTATTGTTTAGTCTTAAGATTCCCGAGCATGTATCATTTCAACTTGATAGTGTACGCTCACTGACCGAAAATTACTCTTAACTTCATATGAAGAAGTTGTTAATTAGGTAGTCTAATACCCGTCTTCATTGATTATCAATATTAATATAAGCGCGCTATAAAAATACAATCGTGTCTTTCAGACGGATAGGTCCACTATGTAAGTGGGTGCATTTTAGGTAATATCGTATGACATACTCAGTTGTGAAAACACCAGAAAAAATTTATTCATTCTAATATAGCACATCGGTAAAGATCATCATTTCTGTACAATGGCTAATACAACTTTGACCTCTCAGAAGTATAAGTGAAAATAAAAATTAGGCTTACAAGTCAAAATGATACGATAACTAGATAAACTAGGGGAATTAAACATCGTGTTCTGTATACTTATAGACAATGTCAAATATTACTGGCACCCTTAGTAGGTACATGGAACCCGGTTGGGGTTCGCTCATTTATCATAACCAACCAAAAGGGTACAGATGCATTCACTCTGTCTCCTCGTAGATCATAAGTTTTAAAATTACTTTATACATGTTGTTCTGTGAACTCATTCTTTTTACCTTCAGTGTCTAATTTTTCCTATTACTGCTGATACTATTACTACTTTTAATTTAGCATATATCTAGATAGTTACATCTTGCATTGATAAAGCAGTTTGGCAACCTGAACCGATAGAAAGATGTGCTGGGTTACGAGTAGCGGGCAACTGACTTTTTATATTGTTCAGAAATAATCACAAATTAATGAGAAAAGCCAAAACATATTGAATATAGAAAACACTTACGCGAACGTCTGCACGTGCGGCACTTTGCTGAAAACGTTTGAAAAAAAGGAAATTTATTCATCAGGGCGTAAGAAAATATAAATAATACCTAGAATAACTGTTTCAAACCAAAGAGCAGACAGTAGCACTTAGTATTATGAATGAATACTGCATAATGCATTCGCAACGATTCAGGAGAACCATATTTATATGTGAAGGTTGAACTAGTGAAACCGTATTTAGAAACATCTACAAGCTTCAATGGTTGACAAACGACCAATTCGTACGTCGTTTTTTATGATACAGTAAGCGTGGGCAAACAAGAAAATGGTTAGTTAGTTTCATCTAACAGAAAATAGCACTTCTGTATTTTCACTTCTAGTTCTCGTTTTTATAACAAATAATTCTAGTTATCAAGACTTTTTGCAACTATTTTAATCTGACAGAGAAAACCTTCATCAATCTCTAAGTAAAATGCGAGAAGCTAACTTCGTACACAGGAAATTCCGTAATGGTTAATCAATTATTACGATAAATAGATGCTGAGCCTAACTATCAAAACATACCCACCGTACCGATAAAGTATAATAGTATGATACTCTTGAAAGTGAGCATCTACGGTCACACACAGGAATCGAACACAGGACTTCCGGTCCCGGGTCGAACGACTAACATCAAGACTAATATACCCCGATCCAACAGTATTGGTGCTTAACTTTAAGCAATCCACAACCCTATACTGAAAACTATCATGCACCGACTAATCAATAGCTTCGCAAGGAAAATGCAGACATCTTAAATGTGGGTTTTATCCTAGAAAACATCGGTAGCTGTCCATCGTTTCATGAAAAGTCAATGTAGACAGACTACCTAAATATCTATGGGATGGTTAAAGTAGTCGGTCATGAAAGAATGTTTGAAACGCTTAAGGTATATTTCGGCTTATAAACCGAAGTTAAGATGACATCACAGATCATTTACACCTTTTAACAGTAAACTTATCTATGGTTTCAGTTCGCATTAAACTCATTTTAGCCAGTGGGTTTCCAAGAATTCTATTCGATACCAACGTAAATACGATAAAAACGGGATATTCTATCAACATCATTGCTATGTTTGAAGAAGTCACGAGTTCACCTAATCTGCGAACGGAACGAAAACTCAGTGACACAATGACCAATAAGCTAACTCTTCCGATGCGACCCAGCCCCCCTAACTAGAGAGAGAAGTCCAGACTCAGAAGAGGGAAATCTATTCCACAAGCAGCCAGAAGCACGAACAACAACAATAAGCACAACTCAAGCGTATTTATACAGCATAAAAACGTCTTTGGGAAACGTTACAAAAACATATTAAAAGAGACCACAAACCAATAACATTTAAGTTCCACCCAAGTGGGAAATATGACATGAAGGTGAAAATTGGTGCTTTTAGTGAGCAAACAAGAAATTCAAATTTTAAAATAGCATTATAAAAATGAGACATTTACCAAGTGAGTTTCTGGGGATCTAACATCCCCAACAATCTTTCAACGCCTTCAACTTACCAAGCAGTACTAATTGTAACTATTATTTAAACAGATACTACTTGAAAGTTTAAGTAGTCTAAGGTCCTTTATGTACATAGTAACTTTCAGTGATGAGTTTTTAAAAGTTTACTACGCAAAAAATATATGACACCTACATAATCTGTCAAACACGGGATCAGGGTACAAACGTAATGAACAAAAGATTCAGTCAAAATGAAATAAACATACTTTCTGATGTAAAATGTTTTCGAAGACACCTTCAATAACTCCTGAAGCTCTTGCTTCGTCATTTTCGTCAAAGGCATCAACCGAAGCATCTGTTTGTTCACAAGTTGTCCCGCAGCATCCTTTGACAGTAGCATTATAAAACCAAGGGTGTTGTTCATCCTACATATGAGAATCAAAATTATAAGGAGGTTAGGAACAATAGGTTTCCTTCAAAACATTGAGTTAGGTATCAGATAAGAATGGAATAACCTGTAAGGAGTTTCCATGATTAAATTGAAAAATATGTAACTACCTTAATGGTATTATATATATACTTAGTATGCAAAATATGGTACAACTGGACACCAAAGATAGAATGCAACATACGAAAAACATAAAAAGCATTGCAAAGGTGATAATGAGATAAAGGCAGAACAATTTAAGAGAAAGAAAAAGTGAACACGAACAGTCAACAACATAACCGAAAAAAAGTACTTCTAGTTAAGGAAATTACTTTTAGTTCTAAGAAGAATGTATAGGAAAACTAAAGCAGGATCCTCAGTAGCATATATTTTGAGCCATGTTTGATAACGTACCAAATGCCCTGATACGATCGAGGGCGGGGAATCACCTTTTCCTCTCGAGATACTCTCACATGACCACGCGTAAACAGCCAATTCCAGGGAAGTGTTGTCTACGAAATTCAGAGGACGCAAGGCGAATATCCGGCGCTTCAACAGGATTGATGGACACGGAGAGTCCACCTGGGGAAGTTTTATTTATTTTATTTACATTAACACCTAAATTATGGTACAAAGGGGCACCGAATATATATGCGCCACACAAAACAATGGGAATGAGAAGAGAAGAAAAGGAAGGTAAGGGGCGTAAAAGAAAAAAAAGAACTATAACGAACAGATTAGTGTAAGGTAATGTAACAATAATAATAATGATAATAATAATAATAATAATAATAATAATAATAATGGGGGAAACGGAAAGGTACAATCAGAAGAATTCTTGCAGTTCAGGAAGATACAACCACTTTTTATGAAGAAAGTAAAAGAAGGTTACAGCAAGATTGCCACTGGCTTCTATTCTGAGCCATATCTGATAACGTCTCTAGCCACTGTGTAGCACCATCTCTCAGACCCCAGCCAGGGAGTCGTGAAGGGCCAACAGAAGCCAGTCCTTTGCAGCCTTCTTTCATACCACGACTCCATGTCATACACTCACTAACTCTCCGCTTTTTCCAACTAGTCCCAGAGTCGGCAAATAATGCACGACGTGGAATTCTCTGGGACGACATTCGGAGAACATGTCCAAGCCACCGAAGTCGGTGTTTCAAGATGGTGACACCAATTGAATTATCGTCTCTGCGCCCAAACACACGATGCCGAACCTCTGTATTACTAACATGGTGTTGCCACTGGATGTCAGTAATCCTTCAAAGACAACGATGATCAAGCACAGAGTCGTCTAACATCTTCAACTCGGAGAGACCGGGTTTCACGAGCACATAGCAGAACCGACGCGTTGTAGATCCGACCTTTTACAGTCAGACTAACATCACGAATGCGCCAAAGATGTCCCAGATTGGCATAAGCCGCTCTGGCTTTCACTATACGTGCATTGATCTCATCACTCACACCCCCACCATCACTTATGCAGCAACCTAGATACACAAACTTCTCGACCACTTCTATCTGCTCACCATCTAGGGTGAGTACAGGATTTGAATCCTGCCAGTCTTGTAGAAGTACTTTGCACTTCGAAGGTGCAAAGCACATACCATACCTACGGACATTGATTGCCAACTGATTAAGTGCGGACTGCATGCCTTGGGCATTACCGCACAATAAGACAATATCATCCGCATACTCAAGGTCGAGAAGTCTTTCTCCAGGCAACAGATCCACACCGCCATTAATTACTTTCGTCAGAGTTGTTTCCAGAACGTCATCGATGGCGAAATTGAAGAGGAATAGTGAGATTGTGCAACCCTGCCTAACCCCACTGCTCGAATGGAACAATGGAGAGAGGTGGTTGTATGCCCTCACTCTGCCTGAGGTGTTTGTATATAGGCCTTTTAGGATGTTAATAAACTTTTCAGACACACCCTTCTTCAATAGACAATCCCAGAGAACAGTCCTATCCAACGAATCGAAGGCAGTCCTGATGTCAAGAAACACTACGATTGTTGGCCTTTGATAAGTATGACGGTGTTCTAACATTTGGCGGAGGGTGAAGATATGATCAATACATCCTTGACCAGAACGAAAACCAGCCTGTTCCTCGCGAGTCAGTCTTTCTCGGGTTCTGAACAACCTACGAAGTATGACGAAAGTCAATAGCTTGGACGCAATCGGAAGTAAACTTATCCCCTGATAGTTGTTACAGGAACGACGTGAACCCTTTTTTAAGATAGGGACAACTATCGACTCATTCCATGACGTTGTTACACTCTCTAGCTCCCAGACCTTTGTAAACAACACAGTCAGTTCCTTAGCCAGAAGGTCACCACTATCTTTAAAATGAGTCGGAGGTAAGTCATCTGGGCCAGGTGATTTGTAGCGCTTCAAGAGTTGGAGTTCCTTGCAGACTTCCGCCTCATTCGGTGGACCAGTCGTCACCGGCCACAGAGGGCAGGACAGTCTGACCGATGTTGCTGGGGCATCAGACCACTTGAATTGCTCCTCGAAAAACTCTGCCCACCATCCAAGAAGTCGATGGATGTTAGTGATTGGCATTCATTCATCCTCGCAGATTGTTTCACTCACACCAGACTTCTTGCTGCCAGTAGCTCGGATGAGTTGAAAGAGCTTCTGGTAGTTACCAGATGCAGCTGGTGCTTCCAGCTCATTAGCACGCTACAACCACCAGGCTTCTCGGTCCTTACGCAAGCTTTGCCCGATTTCATTACGCAACAGCTTTCGTTTGTGGTCAAACTCACGGTCACCCGGAGTAGATGGGAACAAACTGATATTAATTCTGCAGCTCAATAGTATTGTACTTACTGTAACAGTCAGTCAGTCAGTCAGTAACAACGTAGAACTTCGTACGTACGTACATCAGTTCGAGTTGCCGCACCACATTAGCACAGAGATGCAGTTGTCGATTCAAATTCCATAGTGGTAGAGGTAGCAAGAGTATAAGCAGTAGTCGGGAAGATTAGGGTTTGGAGATGTTATTTAAAGAGTATAATCCAGTGAAATAAATTTGGAAAGAGGAAAAAGGGACATGAAGAATTCAGAAGATTAGAATTTGAGAGAACACAGAGAGTGGATGCACCTGCGCCATTGCAAACGATTTTGAGCCATATCATTCAGGGTCTCTAACCATCGGTTGCTATCATCTCGCGGTCCCCAACCAGGTAGTCTACACCTACCAACATGACTCAGTTCACTTGTCAGTGACTTCATGGACTTGTGCCATGTTTTGGTTTGGCCGCCCCTAGATTTCTTCCAACCTACTCCTATACCACTGAGCATAGCACGTCGAGGCAGTCGGTCGTTGGGCATACGTAACACGTGTCCCAGCCATCTCAACTGATGAAGTTTCACTACTTCATCAATTGATTTGCCATACTTACCTAGTACCCGTTTCCTAACAACTGCGTTACTTACTCGATGGTCCCATGATATACGAGCAATGTTTCGAAGACACCTATGATCAAATACTAGTAGCCTACGGATATCCTCTACTCTTACCGGCCATGTTTCACTGCCATAAAGTAGGACGGAACGAACTGCTGCGCAGTAAACACGTCCTTTGGTTGATAGACGGATATTTCGCCTACGCCATAAATGACGCAATTTGGCAAAAGCTAGTCGAGCCTTCTGTATCCGTGCTGAGATTTCGTCACACACCAGACCACAAGGGCTGATCAGACTTCCAAGATAAGTGAAGCGGTCGACACACTCAACTACTTCACTCCCTATCACTAGTTCGGGTGTCGATGTAACCCAATCCTGAAGCAACATTTTGCATTTCGAGGGAGAGAATAGCATCCCGAACATGCTTGCATTGTTGCTTAGAGTGACATGGAGAACCTGAGCTCGATTTCGTACAGGCCTGTGAGTACACCGCTAAATATCAAGTTAGAGAATGAACGTCCAGACAGGTAGTCCAGAACAGGCGGCAGTTTTTTACCGAGCCTCTCCAATGAGGACTGATCGCAATATGGTCTATTTGAGTTCGATGGTTTGGTGCAGGAGGTCGCCATGTTTGATGATGTCTCTCCTTATGCTTAAAGTTAGTGCTTGCTAAAAATAAATGATCGTTTGAGTACACTTGCAGCAGACGATCACCATTATCTGTTTGCTGATTCGAGATACTAAAATACCCACCTTAATGTCTTTTTGTTTGGTTTAAGCTACCTACTTGGGCATTAAAGTCACCTGCTAAGAGTACTATGTTAGAGCGTTTAGCTTTCTGCAGAAGTTCGGACAGCTTTCTGTAAAATTCATCTTTCACTTCATCTGAGCTACAGTCAGTGGGAGCGTAGGCAGAAACGACGAAAAGGCAACGACGTGTGTCCCTATCCTTCCGAGTTCTTACGGAGCCGTTTAGACGAACAGCACATAAACGACTGTTGACGGAGATCCACTCTAGCAGTGCTTGTTCCGCCCTCATGCTTAGTGCTATGCCTACACCTGCCAGTCCACGAGAACTGGCCATCGGGTCACCAGATACACGGAGGGTGTATCTCGTTGGCTCTCCGTTTTGACGAGGTGAGGTCAAGTGAATGACCACACTGGAATCCTGTATGCGTGTTTCGGAGACACAGTATACATCAATGGTAAGAGACTCTAGGGTTCTAGCCAAGGAAGCCTGCTGACCGATTTGACATAGGGTTCGTACGTTGAAGGCTCGAATGTGTAGTTTGGAGCGAGGTTTCAGTAGACCTGGGACAGTGTTTTGAGCACTAGAATCGTTGGTTGTCGGAAGGAAACATCTTACTGCCGTCACACCTCTGTACAGTCAGCAATACTTCATCTTCGGACCTTGGATTTGCTGCTTTTAGTCTTACTGTTCTTCAATCGACTTGTCTGACACGGTAGGACCTTGAGGAACGATTGTTCCAGTCAGTATAACTCGATTGGTTCATCACTATGGGCAAGCCCGACCACCACGTTAAGGTAGCAACAACGGTCGGTATAAACAAAGAAATAAAACTTAAAATCAGTGGATGTATAACTATTAAATAAGCTGTAATGTTAGGAATAAATTAGTGACAGTATGGAAGCATATGATTTCTAAAGTTAATTTGTGATCATTCACCTGACTTGCATCTGAGGATGGATCGTGTTCTGAAGTATCACTCAAGGGTTGTTCGACTTCCATAGCTTCTTCATATTCCAGTGCATGAAGGCCCGCATTACGGTTAATAGCATTTGGGTTTGTCTGAGGAGTATTAGGACTCAATTTCCCTTGTTTGTGAGACATTCAAGTGGTCCTTGAAAAGCACCAACAGTTAACTGAAATAATCTGAAAATGAAAGTAACATCAGTCTCTAAATATTTAGTATTCAGTATAAACCAGACTTGATACTTTTAAAACACTAATAAATTAACATGGATCACTACTAAACCAATAATTCAGCGACAGATATCTCGAAAAATTTACCAAAATATGGGGAATCGAGAGAGACAATGACAGTAATACGAGATTTAGTGGGATATTAAGTCAATACTGTGATCCAGCCACACCAATGTCTTTGCACATTTAAACACAGAACTTGATATACGGTTATGCCAGGTGCTCGTTGACAGGCAGTCTATGGTTTTGATTGTGCTACAAAGTGAATTTGCAACGAGATTTTGTCTGTCGTTAGATTAACAGTCCTAATGTATGTGCTCAGATAGAATGACCAACGAATTCAAACTAGTTACCCAGACTGGTAATTAAATGAAAGTTCACGTTTAGAAAACTACTTCAGGTGCTCTCAGATGACCATCGAACTAAAAACTAAGGAGAAAAGAACTTCGAACTAAGGTCTTAACTGGCGTCTGACTGAAGTCTCTGGATGATAAAAAATCGATTAAGATATATATATATATTCATTTACTTTCATATTTAGAAATATTTCCATACATTCTTTTTGTTGAATTTCTCTCGTTTTAAAATTCATGACTCCCGTTGGAGGCTCATTTGCCTTATTCTGAGGAGGTAGACCACTAATACGCTGTACAAGATCCCACTTTATATCTGAACCCAACGAAAATCTCATGATCTGATAACCTGATGTATGGGCGAGAATGATAATGACTGGTTGTTTGTTTAGTCAGGCTTGTAGATAGTCTGATAGGTGTTAGATGAATTATATATTCTCCTATCCTTATTATTATTATTATTAATTGTTGACGGATTGTTGTTGGCTTTTGGTGTGGAAATATATTTGCGTTCTAGTTAGGCTAATCACGTTCTTGATCTGAGTGGTGTTCAAGTCCTGTAGAATAGACACTGAGAGGGAATCTAGTGTAGATATTCGCCTAAGGCAAATTAACGTCCTATTCATGTAGACGTGGGAAACCAAGTGTTATAACAATGGCGATTTCGTAACAGTAAAATGGATGAACTGAAATCTTTATTGCAAGAGCAAAATGCTTTTATCGAATTATTGGTCAAGAATATGTCAGTATCCCCAAGAAACCAGGTATCTAATTCTACTATGACTTCGGATTCTATTGCCTATTCAATAAATGAATTTAGATTTGAATAGAAAGTGGGATTACTTTTGAAGCGTGGTTTAAGCGCCAAGAGGATTTTTTTATTAATGATTGTAAAGAGTGGGACGAAGGTTCGAAACTAAGATTATTACTACGGAAGCTTGGAGTTTCTAAACATGAAAAGTTTCGTCATTTTATTCTCCCAAAAAACCAACTGACATAACCTTCAGAGAAACAGTAGGATTCCTGACACGTGTATTTGGTGAACGACCATCAACTTTTCTCCAACTTGTAAAAAGTTTACATGACGATCATGTGACGTGCGCAAGCATCGTAAACTGTGAACGTGAGCGGTTTCAGTTACAGGAAATGTCCTCATAACAGTTTAAATGCCTTATATTTTGTCTGTGGATTACAATCTGCAGTAGATGCAGACATTAGAACATGGATTCTAGCGAGGATCGAATAAGATCCCAATATCAGTCTGCAGTCAGTATCTGAAGAATGTCAAAGAATAGTGAATTTGAAGCATGATACAAATTTCGTAGAAAGGAACAGTGGATACGTGGAAGTCAACGCTTTGCAAAATTCTTTTAATGGAAATAAGGATTTGTACTTCCAGCGAATCCCAAGCCGAATGAAACCCAAAACGTCTTGTTGGTGATGCGGTGTGTCATTCTGCTAATGTTCGCTATTTTTAAAGTGTTTTCGACGTGGTAAATATGGTCATGCTCAATTATGTTGTAAAGTAGACCAAAGATGGCCGACCATCAGCACAAGTTCCGTAAAGAAAATAAGACGCGGAAGTCAAAAGAGATAGCACATAATTGGAATGTTGTTCTGGCCACAAAAATTGCTCAATTCTCATCTAAAAGGAAGTACGCAACTGTCTTTTTTTAATAGCAAACCGGTTGAGCTGCAAGTAGGTACGAGGTCTGACAACATAAATTTATAGACATGGATAAAACTTGGCCAACCTCAATTTCAACCTACATATTATAGTGCTAAGAGTGCAACAGAAACTAACATTACTCTTCTTAAAGAAATACAGCTACCTCTCACACACTGGGTAACAAGACTACGATCGAAAGATGTTATATTTCTGGGAACTGTCATACCAACACATTAGGTATTGATTGGATAGATAAAGTTGGTTTGTGGATTCTACCGTTGAATACACCGAAAGTAGAAGCCCAGCCATGGCCAGAAACGAGCAAGCCTTGGGTCCGAATACGCATCAATTATGCTGGACTAATAAGCGGACAATATTTTTGGTGGTGGTAGATTCATACTCTAAATGGCCTGAAATATATGCTGTACGAAGACCGTCTACATCTGAAACACTTACATCTCAGACAACTATTTGGTAGGTTTAGAATACCTAATGCTTTGGTTTCAGATAACGGAACGCAATATACGTCGTCAGAGTGTGGAGCTCTGCAAACAAAATGGAATATATATATAAGAACCCTACCGTATCACCCTCAGTCAAATGAGCAAGCAGAAAATTTTTTTGATATTCTTAAGCGAGTTCTCTTAAAGATAAGAGAAGAAACTCTGCAACAGGTTTTAATCTCTTATGGAATTACACCTAGTCCAATCTGTTAAGACAGAAAATCACCAGCCCAGATATTTGGCTGACCATTAGGTAGTTTTGATGTTTTGAACCCGAAAGACAGAACGAGTGGACTACAGAAAAATAAGAAATGGAATTACCCTAAGATTCGAGAAGATAAAGCAGGTGACTTAGTTTATGCACGTGATTTACGTCCAGGAAAGCCAAAATGGATATTTGGGTACATGAAAAAAAGAAGTGGGAAGATATTGTATGAAGTGAGATTTGGGAATACACTAATTATTAGACATATAAATCAAGTGAGATAGAAGAAATGTTAGTGAGTCATCTAAAGCGTAACCTGATCCAATGGAATTATTATGCGATATATTTAATATTCCACCATCCTCACAAGTTGAAATTAGTCGAAATCAGAAGCTAACCGGTCACCAAGAGAATGAAAAAGACAAGACATTCTCAAATAGACCCTATGGTGAAGTCATACGAACAAACTTCGTGAGGGAGGCGATGTGTGGGCGAGAATGATAATGACTGGTTGTTTGTTTAGTCAGGCTTGTAGATAGTCTGACAGGTGTTAGATGAATTATATATTCTCCTATCCTTATTATTATTATTATTAATTGTTGACGGATTGTTGTTGGCTTTTGGTGTGGAAATATATTTGCGTTCTAGTTAGGCTAATCACGTTCTTGATCTGAGTGGTGTTCAAGTCCTGTAGAATAGACACTGAGAGGGAATCTAGTGTAGATATTCGCCTAAGGCAAATTAACGTCCTATTCGTGTAGACATGGAAAACTGAGCGTTATAGCATAATCATTGAAGTCGCTGGTTAATAGTAGATCACTAAAAACTAATACCATTGAAATACGGTGCATTACTAATTGGTTTTGCAATGTACGATCTAGGCAAACACTACCGGGATTTCCGATGCAACTACAAAGGGGCAAATAAATATCTATAGCGGGTATATGATCACATTTTAAATCCCTCACGTGGGTGCGAAGACTGAGAGGTAACTTTGAGTGCAACACATACACAAGCCTTTTAGAGTCATATTGAGGGACATCTAGGAATAAGTTGGATTTGAAACATAATGAATGGTTTTGATGTCAAAGATTGGTGTCGTCACCAATAAGTATACAGCACTACCCAAACTTAATATTTCTTGTTAGTTTATCAACTTCAGCGGGGATCTTTTTTTAACTATGCCACATTTTTAAGTTTGCTTTCGTCAAGTTACTTTATTGAGAACACATGGTAGATTCACTTACAAAAACACTATAAAATGACTTATTAAATGCGGTTTTCTGGCCATTTTTAGTAACAGTGCAAGCATGTTTAGGATGCTATTCTCTCCTCAAGTGCAAATTGTTGACTCAGAACTGGCCTGCGTTGGCGCACAAATTAACGAGAATGAAGTAACTGGGTGTACCAACCTTATCACTTGGGAGTCTCATCAGTCATTATGAGATGCTTTCTGATGAAATTTCGACATAAATTTGAAAATCCCAACTGGTTTTTTTCAAATCGAGTCACTTGTGACGTGTGTAAGATATCCCTGAACCAACTAAAGGACGGGCTTACTGCTTAGTACTTTACGTCGTTCTACTTCATGATCGTGGAACATGGCTATTTAAAATAAAGGATATTTCTAGGTAACTAGTATTCGACAATAAATGTATTTGAAGCGCTGCTTGTCTACTTTGGGATCACTGAGTAAATGGTGCCTAAGTTAGAGATAGTGTACTAGGTAACCTTTCAGTCTATCAGCTGATGAGGAAGTAAATCAACTGAGGTGGTTGAGACGTGTGTTACGTTTGCCCAACCACTCACTGCATAACACGACGGACGGTGTCTTGTGTAGTAGGTTGGGAAAAAGCTATGTGGCCATACTAGCATTTTACATAGTTAACTACGGCTAGTGTTGCTACTATCGTCACCATAAGATGATCAACATCTAGGATACGATAACCAGAAACTTAATAATTTACTTATGGTTTATCGAGATTTTATATTTTGGAATCCACCCGAACACCCGGCATTAATATTGGTAGTTTCAGCGCGTGGAATTTCAAAGTAAAAATGTCACAATGGTAGCTATGAGGTGCGCCACTTGTCTTGATGTGTCACAACCACAGGCTTCATCATCATTTAAGGCTAATAATCATTTAGCCTTTTGTTTTAACTAGAGGATTTTTCAAATACTAAGCCGACCAAAAATTATGGTAAGAAACCATCTTACGAATCCTAACAGTGGAACTATATGCTAGCAGCTAAATAGTTTGGAATTTAGGCAAGAGTACGAAGAGCTTTAGTGCAGGCGTCCCAGAGGTACAACCAAGCCGCACTATGACCAGAGGCCGAGTATAGAAGTCTATACTCGTCAAATGAAGGTCTACCAACTCAAGTGATGAGAATTGGGTATTAGGAATCATCGGCGAGACCACAATTTACGGACGAATGAGTTAGATATAAGGTATCAGGTCTTGGATTTAGTTGCAAAATTCATTCATCCATTTGGCTAAATAGCATTTTGATAATATCGCTGTCGGTTTATGATGAAAACCCCAAATCTAATTTCTAACTTAAGCCACCAACTGTAACTCCTAATCCCAATTCCACGCACCGGTTTATAATCCGCACTTAGTCCTAGTTACTAGGTGGACACTCAATGTCAGATGTCCTCCATGAATTAGTCCCACCGAATCATCTTAATGAAGTAGTGGAAAAGTTTGAACATTAACTGCTATTAGCAGACTTCTTATGTCTTACATTTATATTCAGATTCCACCTCAATCTCGCCGTTATTGGAACGCTTTCCTGACTTGTTGACACTCTATGTAATTCAATAACGGTACGCAACGATCACTATACCACGCCTGTAATATTGAATCCCCTTTTTGTTATGGTAGAAGATATAGGTTAAGCACTTTTTGGGGCTTTGTAATATAATAACAATCCGGTAACTGAATGGAAAAACCCATAATCCGATAAGTCGACACCATGCATGAAGATCAGGTTAAGAACGTCAATACCGAGATATTGCAGATCATTCTGCAAGAAACAGGAGTTTGGTACATATATCCACCACAGGAATGTCATAAATGGTCGTTGAAATAATTCAGAATATCTCATACGCTTACTAAAAATTTAGGTGTTGTTATCTATATTGGCATTTTTCAAGAGTATGATAATGAGGTGTTTCCATCGGTATAAAAACAAAGCCTCCAATCGGAAAGCGCGATATTCTAAAAGCTATGGGTGAATCCGTACGCAAAACACTAAGGAGAATCAGTTTTATATTCATTTACAATCAAGCTGTAACTAAAGCCTTAGCTAATAATATGTCCGAATAATGTGTGAAGCAAAACCAAAACCTTATCTGGACATAATACGAGACCATTCGAATGAATATGGCAAAAAGTAAACGAACCTTATTCTACAAATTCTCAAGAAACAACGGGATTTCCACGAAGCCCAAGATTATTAGACCACGCGCCTAACGCTGCAGCATCGCCTAACTTAACAAAATTGAGGCGGTCCAATATGGTACCTCACTGTCAAATAATTTTATTTATTATTTATGAGTGATATTAATTCAATGTAGTGAATGCTACATCCAAATATACCACTCTCTGAGTAACCAGCAGTACATTGACTTTAATTTTAAGTGATCATGTGTGTTAGAAACATATGGGCAAAGAACTCTATAGTGGTGAATAAATCCTTAACATAGATAGTTCTGTAGGTTTTCGACATTGATGCCAACGTCGATAGCTCTACTGAACACATATTAACTAAGGACACAATTCTAAGCATCCTCACGAGGTCACCGTTTGGTACACCATGCAAAGCATCCTTCGCAGCACCAAATAGCTTGGTGCATACATTTCTCGGCATGTATATCATCTTCCAAATCTATCCTAAAACGCCTTCATTCCTGATTACTGACTCTACCGTCTTTAGGACCTTTGATTATAACGCTGATACAACTTTTTTCAACCAATCTGAAGCAATGAAAAATTACTTGGATTCTAATGAATGTCATTCTCAATATTTAATAAATTTAGTAAGACTGTAATTTATGGATGATCTTTGAGCTATGCTAGAGTGACCTTCACAGTGTCTTCCCACTTACTAGGGTTAGATGAATGCTATAAACTGGTAAAAGCAATTAGAAATAAGACTTAATGTTAGACGTTAGAGTTAGGAATTACAGTTAAAACTTTCATCACGAAATGACATCAGCTATAATGCCGACATGCGATTTAACTGTATGGGTGAATAAATTTTCTGTCCAAGTCCACGACGCGCTATCCTTATTCCACCTGAGTCATCTATAAATTATATCCCGCCGTCATCATTTTTGATTGGCTCGGCGATGGAATAAGTTGTCTTACGAGATTATACAGGCTACATTACATGAATGGATGATAAGTATTTCCAACTTGTTGATAATGGATCTATAATATCGATTCACAATTCCGTCAACTTTTATCATGTCGAATGAATATGCCGTTGACATACAAACGAATAAGTAAACGGGCCTTTTTGATGAGAAAATGGTCGTAAAAGTGATAATCACTATTTTTGATGGCGGGTGTGTCACCTAAATAAAAAAAATTTCTTGAGTGAATGAGATAGATTTGTTTAAGATAGAGTCAGCACCCAAGTCATCATAAGACGATATTTTTGCCTGCTTGCATTCTACATAACCGTTGGCGACCTTCAAGTGAATTTACTCTGCTTCTCACATACTCAAATCACTTAAACAACAGGTCAGATTAACCATTTCAGTGGTAAGGAAGCAATAAAAAAAACTAGGATGTTGGGAATCAAGCTTGAATGTTATTTTGGACGACACTGAAAGATGCAGTAAATACGTTACGAATACAGTGATAAAGTGATTAAAATGGAACAAAATAGTGAGTAAAATAAATAACTGCGATATCCTCTGGGACCAAAACAGACATAGAACACATGAAACAAAATTATCGTTGATAACACTTGGAGGGATTTTCACATACATTCACATAAACATACAGAATTAACCATATAAAAATTTTCAAAGACAATCCCGGCAAGCTTCGCTAGTTCTCTAGATGATACATTATGTTTACAGTACTTTATAACATGCAATATTTTATTCTCATTTAGACCAATCACAAAGACATCACACCCAAGCACTTTCTTGAAATAAGGTATATACAATCGTTGTCAAGGGAGATAGTATGTTGGACCATTTCTCGTGTTTGATAGTGCTTACATTCCGTTTCCTGAAGCCGGCAGCACCATATTGTTACCTCGTTCGTGATTGTATGGTATGGGGTCTGTAGTTTGCAGTCGGAATCCAGAGTTAGCTAGAGTATCCAATGAAGTACAACTCACTTCGTTCCTATTATTGTTGTTTAGACTGTCGCAATCGACATCATGTCAGTGTTGTTGTACCAGTGATTAAACTTGTTTTAATTGTTCAACAAGAAATCCCTGTGTCATTGTTCGTTCACCAGTTCTGGTTTGACAACTATGATAGTTTGTTACACTGCAATGCACTCACTATAGTTATGTCGGCATTACTACCGCGACAATTGTTTCGTACGACCACATATTACTATGAAAAGTGTGCCGTTTTGGGGCGAATCATTCTAGATTACAAAATAATCTCAAACTTATAAGTTGTTCCCATTATCATTGTTATATAACTATGAATGTCATGCATCAAGTCAACGGATACTACTGCACCATGATTCGTAACATGATCAAGTAACTCACACATTGTTTAAATCAACATTTTTAATTGACGACATCTCTGAATCGACAAACGTAGTCGTATTCTGAACCATCAGAAGTACTCAGCATGTAAAAAACGCTACCTAATTTTAGATGGCTAGTGCCTAATCAAAACTATAAGTAGCTATTCATAACGGTTTCTCAACATTGCCATAAAGCACGGTTACGACTTAAACATTAGGTAATGTGGTTGATATAAGCGATTTAGCTAACAACATAGTCGACAAACTGACTGATAATAATTACCACATAAATCGTTGTTGTCCTCATTTATATTTATCTGAACTGATGGCTTCGGGTTATTCAATTATCAGTTGATTCCTTAGTAATTATCGTAAACCTCATCATTTTGATTAGAAGTTCAACGACAGCCATCTGTATAAATCACAGATGCAAGCAATCGAGTAAATCTCCCATAAGTTAAAGGCATCATTGTCATAATTATACAAACACTGACAAAAATTTCATAACATTAAGATAGAAAGATATTGAACGTTATACTTCTCTAGCTCTAACCTATGATCACTTTATCAACTTATGAGCATCTAGCTAACTGAGAATATCATACAATCCATCACTTTTAATGACAGTATCTAAAGAGTTTTGACTACAAAACCCGATTTCAGACTGATTCATTTATACTTACTTACTTACTTACTTACGCCTGTTACTCCTCGTGAAGGAGCATAGGCCGCTCACCAGCGTTCTCCATCCAACCCTGTCCTGGGCAATCCTTTCTAGCTCCGTCCAGTTGTAATTCATCGTTTTCATATCTGCTTCTATTATCCGACGCAATGTGTTCTTTGGCCTTCCTCTTTTTCGCTTCCCCTCAGGATTCCAAGTTAGGGCTTGCCTCGTGATGCAGTTTGACGATTTGCGTAATGTATGTCCTATCCATTTCCATCGCCTTTTCCTAATTTCTTCTTCAGCTGGAAGTTGGTTTGTTCTCTCCCACAGAAGGCTGTTGCTGATGGTATCCGGCCGATGGATGTTGAGTATCTTGCGAAGGCAGCTATTTATAAATACTTGTACTTTCTTGATTGTGGTTGTTGTAGTTCTCCAAGTTTCAGCTCCATACAGTAGAACTGCCTTGACGTTCGTATTGAAGATTCTTACTTTGATATTGGTTGAAAGTTGTTTTGAGTTCCATATGTTCTTCAATTGTAGGAATGCGGCCCTTGCTTTGCCAATCCTCGCCTTTACGTCTGCATCTGAACCTCCTTGTTCATCGATTATGCTTCCCAGATATGTGAAGGATTCTACATCTTCCAGAGTTTCGCCATCAAGAGTGATTGGATTGCTGTTCTCCGCTTTGAATTTGAGGACCTTAGTTTTCCCTCTGTGTATGCTGAGGCCTACTGATGCAGAGACTGCTGCTACACTGGCTGTCTTCATCTGCATCTGTTCGTGTGTACGTGATAGGAGGGCTAGGTCATCTGCGAAGTCCAAATCATCTAATTGATTCTGAGCTGTCCATTGTATTCCGTGTTTTCCTTCAGATGTCGAGGTCTTCATAATCCAGTCGACCACCAGGAGAAAAAGAAAGGGAGAGAGTAAACAGCCTTGTCTGACTCCGGTCATTACTTGGAATACATCTGTCAGCTGTCCTCCATGCACTACTTTGCACTGTAGTCCGTCGTATGAGTTCCGGATTATATTGACAATCTTCTCAGGAATTCCGTAGTGTCGAAGAAGTTTCCATAACGTCCTCCTGTCTACACTGTCGAATGCCTTTTCATAATCAATGAAGTTGATGTATAATGATGAGTTCCACTCAACTGATTGTTCGACGATGATCCGTAGTGTTGCAATTTGGTCTGTGCACGACCGATCCTTACGGAATCCAGCTTGTTGATCTCGAAGTTGGGCGTCTACTGCATCCTTCATCCGGTTCAGCAACACTCTGTTGAAGACTTTCCCTGGTATTGACAGTAGTGTTATGCCTCTGTAGTTTTCACATTTGCTCAGATCTCCTTTCTTTGGAATCTTGACGAGGTGTCCTTCTTTCCAGTCCATCGGCACTTGTTCCTCCTCCCAAATCTTTTTGAATAGAAGATAAAGCATGCTTGTGGTTGTTTCGATGTCTGATTTCAGTGCTTCAGCTGGTATGTTGTCGGGTCCTGCTGCTTTCCCGCTCTTGATTTGTCTGATGGCCATTCTGATTTCTTCCGTCGTTGGTGGATTGACATCTATAGGAAGATCTGCGTGTGCTGCTTCAATGTCCGGTGGATTCATTGGAGCCGGCCTATTCAGGAGTTCTTCGAAGTACTCTACCCATCTGTTCCGCTGTTGTTGAATTTCAGTGATTGGCCTGCCTTCTTTGTCTTTGGCTAGTCTCTCTGGTTTACTGTATTTCCCTGCTAGTTTCTTCGTTGTATCGTAAAGCTGCTTCATATTTCCCTCTCTTGCAGCTTTTTTAGCCGTCGTTGCTAGTTTTTCCACGTACTTCTTCTTGTCGGCTCTAATACTCTTCTTTACTTGCTTGTTCGCTATGTACTCAGCTTGTGCTTGAACTTTCTCTGCTCGTGTTCGGCTGTTGTTAATTGCTGTCTTCTTGTTCTTTTTTTCTTTGATCTTGTTCAGTGTTTCCATAGAGATCCATTCCTTATGATGATGCTTCTTTAGGCCCAGAACCTCTTGACACGTTGAAGTTAATGCTTTTTTGATACCTTTCCAGTTGTCCTCCATAGTAGTTTCTTCTTCCTTCAGTAGATCCTGTAAT